AGAATGCTCAGAGCTACAGTGCAAATCCAGCTCTTCTCAGTCAGAGAGGCTGCTGATGAGACTGAGGTGTCCTCAGGGGTCCCGTGAGTTTCTACCTGAGCTCCAAGGACACCCCCCCCACTGCCTTCTGAGTCAATGCCAATCTCTGATCATTAGAAAAAAAGTGCCAACAGCAGTAACACCTGGTGGTGTTTAGGCTGCGTTTATATTCACATCTTGATCGTCATCATCCCAGAAACCCTGGTATGGGAAGAGGGTAGATTATCAACCCTACGGTACTGGTGCGGACTTAAGCCCAGACACTCAGGCAAGATCTCACTAAGCATCAGGTACAGTGACCTATCCGAGGAGCTGGTCCCTGGACCACCTGGTGCCTGGAAATGAGGCCATACACATACCTCCCATCTCCTGGGGCCAGACCTGTACCTGCAACATGCCCACAGCCTGAATGACGCAAGGGACACTGGGCTTCCCCTCCAGGATTCCAAGAAGGCCGTTTGGACAAAGTCCAGATCCTGGCTGGCTGTCCCTACCTCCCTGTAGGGTTTTTAATCAGTCTGGCTCACTGTGTACAAGCTGGGTTGTAAGCAATGCCGGTCAGAAGGTTCCAGGGAACCACCGGGATGAAATAAAGACTCATCCACTCTATTTCTGTTGATGGGCTGTCTCTGCCACTGGAATGAAATCTCCAGGCAGCCTGGGACTCTGATCCACTGCTCTGGCCTGAGTCCCCAGAGTCATGGCCAGCCTACAGAAGACTCTCTCTGGGTTCCTAATCTGGGAATGGGAAGCAGCAAAGGAAGAGGACCTTTGGAGTCAGGGTGCCTGGATTTGAGATCTGAGTTTCTAACCTACTGACTGTAACGTTGGGAAAGTCACCATCCTCTCTGAGCCTCAGTCTCTTCATCACTGAAGTGGATATACTAATCCCCCAGTCACAGGAGCAGATGAGCCAATGTATACAAAGTAGGTCACGCAAGAGAGCTACTCCACTCTTCTCTCCTCCCAGTTTCAAGGTAGGATAAGTAGAACTACAGAGTATGACTGATTTGTTCCCACTGCAGAAAGCCTGGGAACAGTCCACTCCTCGACTGGGAACTGCTGGAGCCCGGGGTGTAGCACTGGGTTGGGCACACAGGAGAGACCCTGGAAATGTGGTGGGAGGCCAGAGACAGGCCCCCCAGCTCAAGAGGAAAGGGACATGTTCAAGGTCTCCCGAAGCACTAGTCTGAGGTCTCCTTACAGGGTCCTGTGCTTGTTTTGGAAGGAAAAGCCATGTGCTTCCAAGGACGATGGATATACATCCTGAACCTGATCACATGCCACAGCAGGAAGTGACTAGCCCTCCTCCTCCTGGGTAACATTCCTTGTTACACTTGGGGCTCCTCTCTCCCCCTCACTCAGCCCCACTTGCCTTTAGAGGTGAGAAGCAGAAGGGGTGATGGGTTGGTTTTGGGCAGTCTGTGGGTTTGGAAAGCAGGCTGCACTTGGGGCTACCCACATGAGGACTCTGTGTTGCTCGCCACCTTCTTGATGGGTATCTTTCTGTAAGTCACTGGGTTTCTCAGGCCTTAGTGTCCTGATCCATAAAGAGGGAGAATGGTTGGAAAATTCAGAAGTAATGCCGGGCATGCCAACTCACTGTCACCTATAGTGAGCCATTTAGTATGATTAAATGACAAAACACAGAAGATGAGCAGAGACCACAGTGTCTCCTTCCTTCTCCAACTGTGTGCCCTTGACACCCCCATCTTGTCTGGAGCCTAATGGACTAGGTGGCTGCTCAGAGCTGGGCCATCTTCGCACCTGCAGTGGGTGTCGACTGAGACAGAGATGACATGTGACATGTACTCCGAGTTCTACTTCAATGCAGGCTCCAAAGCACTTCCATCTGCAGTGCTAATGTTTTAGAGATTCTCACACTAGTAATCAGTCAGCCCACCAATCTGGGGGAGGAATGGAGATCTTAACTTCAAAGGGAAGGACCAAATGTTCTGCCTCCTGTTAAAACTCCATATACACTGATGGCAGAGACTGGATGCCTTATTAACCTTGGGTGGATGCCCAAATGTTCAAAAGGTAAAACTCTGCTTTTCTCCAGATCATAAGACTCATTAAGCAATCATGCTCCTGAATGAATGAACAAATACTGAAAAGGTACTTGTGCCGCTGAGATCTCTAATGATGGCTACTGCTGCCTGGTATGTGCTCAGCGCTTTGTGATTTTCAACGTGCTCTATGACTTTGGTCAAGTTGCTTAACCTCCTTGAGCCTCAGTTTCCTGGAGATAGCCTCTTCATCTCAGGGTTAGCCTAAGGATTACAAGAGCTAATGCTCCACAAGTGCCTGGCACCTAGTCAGTGCTCAATTAAATGTGGCTATCCTTACTCCTGGCTCATTTGACTTTTGGCCTCGGGGAGGGCAAAGGATGGACAAGGTCCCAGAGCTATTTAGGAGCAGAAGCAAGACTAGACTCCAGGTGTCCCGAGCCCTGGTCTTAGGCCAAGAATAATCATCACATCAGATGTACGTTTTCCTGCAAGGGGGTTCTCGATTATTCGCATTCCTGGAAAGCCTGGGGCTAATTTAAAAGAATTCTCCTTTGAGAGTGAAAGAATTTTATTAACAGATCTTTACTTGAAACATTTTTGTTGTTGTTGCTTTTGTTGTTGTTGATAGTTTGTTTTGGGGGAAAACACAAGAGAACCAAGTCAGCTGAGTGTCTCAATCAGGTCACCATGGGAAAAAGATGCTTGCAGGATGAGGGAGAGTGGTGTACACGGTTTCCTGCGGCTGGGGGCGGGGGCAGGGTGTCATCGTTGGATGTTAGTAAGCAACGAAAACAGTGGAGATACAGCTGAGGCAAACCAACAGGCCATTCTGCATTTCATCTGTCTGTCTCTGTCCCTCAGGCCACAAACACCCAGGCTGCTGAGAACCTCAGTGTGTACTGCAGAGCTCCATGTTAGAGCCGGTGTCTTCCCAAGGCTGCAGAGATTTAACAACCAGGAAAACTCAGCTATGCTCAAGCCAAGGACTGCCCTGGCTGCTGGCTGATAGCAACAGCAGTACCTGCTGGGCCAGACTCTATGCTTACCTATCAGGCCCAGCCAAAGGAGTGGGCTCCTTCAATGTCATCACCTTCAGAGGCCGCATGCATCTTCCAAGAAGACACATGTGCTTTTTGTTGCAAACAGGACTCATCTGACAGAGGTGCTTTTGGAGCCTGAGGCATGTTTTTTGGATTCCCTCAACTGGGGCAAATCCTTGGTCTTCTAGGACAGCTTGGAATTTTGGAAGCGGTCAGGTCGCTCAGTCAGAGCCAAGGGCAGTGAACAAGGTGTGCCACAGAAGAAGGAGAAGGACTGATTTTGAACAAGTCCAAGGAGTGAGTCTAAAGCAATAAATGTGAGTTTTTGGCAAGGCTTACAAAGGGCTCTAAAAGGCCATCTGCAAAGAGACGCCAAGCCCAGAAATGGCATGAGCAATGGCAACTTCTCCCACGTGAGGGCATGGATGGCTGTTCCAAGGGCCTATTCTAAGGAAAACCCTTTCAGCATTGAGTTTATACTGATGAAAACCAAAGCAGTTACTTACTAGTCATAGTTTTTTTAAAGGGTGTTGGTGGGGCTCATGAGGAGAAGGAGAAGAGGACCCTTGCAAATACAACCCACCCATGGCTCCTAGGAACAAAAACAGGTGTGAAACAAAGGAGAAATTGAAAGTCACACCCAAATGAATCTGGATTCTGGATGTATTATCATGAGGTTTTCCTTCACTGATTCATTTGTTGATCATAAAAGAGAAGCAAGAAATCTGAGGGGTAATTAGGATGGAGGTTAGAGATTGCCTGCTACAAGATGTCTGACTGAAGGGCTGGCAACTTGGAGGACAGGTGGCTGGCCAAGTGATTGCTCCATGACTGTCATCCCATCTGACTGCCATCTCTGTGAGCTGGAACTCTAGTAATCAAAGTCTGTTAATGTCTATGTACTCAACCGGATACTACATTCTCAATACACTGTTGGTGGTAGACAATGAGGAAAAACAGAGAAGCAAGATTTTGACAATCTTTCCCAACACCTGTGCACATCTCAGAATCCTAAACTAAATAGAAAGCTGACTTACTGAAAGTGGATTGCCCTTGGAATTGGAGAGGCCTGGCCCTCTAGTTATGTGAAATGACGTTACCTCAGAGCCCCAAGCTCCCAGTTCTCTGAACAGGAAGGAAGCAGACCCATGGCTCTATAAGAGCCATTTCCTCTCTGCTCTATTAATTTCAGAGATTAAGTAAGCCACTCCTCTGTGGACCCAATACACTGAGAAAACAGCCATTGTGTTTGCTGCAACTCCTACTAATGGAGCTAATCTTGGTAGACTAGTGATGTTGCAGGCTTTTGATGTCAAATTCAACTAACCAGTGGCTCTCATGGTCTCCTCTATCATCCTGGCTCCTAGACTTACCACTGGAAGCCCTAACCCCGAGTTTCAGATATTTGGATGATGTCTGGGCCCCAAGGGGAGAAAGTAGGAATTTGTCAAATGGGTTTCTAAAAGGACACCAGAGCCAGAGAGTTGAATGGGAATCTCATTCTGTTCCCTACTCACTGGCTTCTTGTTCTCAGTGGTACTAGGAAGCTAATGAAATATATCTAGTGCCCATCAGTCCCACATTCCCTGGTTTCTATTAAGAGAAAATGAAGGCTTTTCTTCCCTCTCACTCTTCCTTTCTTTCTAGCTGAAGGGGTGCAGTGCAGAGATCATTAGACCGGGAATCCAGATGGAGCCTTGGACTATATTTCCTGCTCTTCCAGAAATTCATAAGGGGTAAGGTCAGCTCATCTCCTACATCTTTTCTAGGTCAGATTCTAGTCCCTTACATTTTGGGTTGGTTCCCTGCCAACAAATTTGCACAGAGAATTTCAATAACACATCTTACGTTCAAGTTTAAGATTAGAAGCATTCAACACCCCCCTCCCCCCAATAGCCCATTGTCTGACCGATTCCTGGAGCTTTCTGGGCTCCTGACGATTTCCCACCATGGCGAAATGGGGAACCATGCTCTTGATTACAAGCCGACTTTTCCAGTCATCCATTGTTTGACCTGCAATTTTATTCTTGACTCTCCAAGGCGCTTCCCAAACGACCTAGACACAGGGCTTAGGGAGACAAAAAGTACACTGTCTTTCAGATATGAAGATGAGACCATAGACCCCGTGAATCACAGACTTTCACTCTGAGGACAGGTTTGGGTGGAGTCAGCCACATTCCCTTTCATGTCTCTCTCCCCACCCCACCACCCTCATTGAGCCCCTCCCACCCCCAGGGATGAGGGGCACTTCTGTAAAGCAGTTGGCTGGGATGAGATGGCAGTCCCCAGCTATGGGGCAGAACAGAATTCACTGGAGAGCTGAAGGATGGGTAGAGAAGCAGCCTGATGTAACTAAAATAACACTAGGCTTAAAGGCAGGGAATGTGGGTCCTAGGTCTGGCTATTTTGCATGTGTGATAGATATGCAGTGAAATTGAGGGAAAGACTCTTCTGTTCTCTAGCACAATTTTCTTATACTAAAACCATGGTAGGTGGGTCAGGTGACAGCCACTTCTGCTCTACTAGAGTAAGCCCACTCTACCAGAGTATGGCCCACTGAAGGAGCAGCTCCCAACTCTGGCCCCACTAGCACCCAGCCAAGTGATCTGACTAACAGTTTATAGCCTATCAGTGGAACGAGGCAATGGGTGTTGGAAAGGGCTCATGAAGCCCTGCTGTACTGGTTTATGAAAAAACCAACAAAGCAGGCTGTGATCAGGTCTACCCCAAGGTATGCTCTCCACAACAGATAAGCAGACCTGTGCTAAACCAAGTAAAGCTTTTTTATTTTTTTTCATTTTATTTTATTTCATTTCTTTTTGTTTTTCATGATGTAGACATGAAATAGCTGCTCTGCATTCATTCATTTCTCCTTCTCAGAAATCCCCTTGACAGTATGGCATCAGGCACTAAAATGCAATGTCTACACTTCTGCCTCTGGAAAAATGGAAACGTACTCTTCCCATTTTCCCACTGAGTACACTAAAATCTCTGGATATTTATATAAAACAAACATAAGAAGATCCCAAAAAGTGGAAAGAAGAAGGGACCTTGGGACTTGAGGAACGATGTGGTGGTGAGTTCTCTGGGTTTCCTTTTGGCTCACCAATATCAGACATGGACCTGAAGAAGCTGGCAACCCCAAAATGCCAATGGACACAGGCAAAAAGTCCCCCAACAAAAGTTTACTTTCTTTAGCTAAAGGACTAGGACAAGGGAAGACTACCAAGGCAGAAAATTTATATCTAAGAACTGGTACAATTCACCTAAATACCACAGAAAAAAAGTGTGGTCCCACCAAGTCCCAACATCAAAGGCCAAGTGGGGCCTAGACTCCACCCCCATCTGGCAATAATGATTTATTTCTTCCTGCCCCCCTGGGATGGTATCAAAGGAGGCCTAACAGACAGGATCTTTTACCCTGCAGAGTGGTAATGAGTCCACATCCCATCACCGCCAATTTCAGTGGAGATCATATGGGGAATGGTAATGAGGCACTTCCACTGATCCCAGCCAGGATGGTATCAGTGAAAGCCTAGTAGGAAGCTAGAACTACCACACTGCCCAGCAGTAATGAGCCACCCTAACCTTGTTGTCAATGAAGGCTAAATGAGGAGCCTAGACTTCAATACCCTCATGAAAGAAATGAGATGGTGTCTCCTTCCCTGCCAAAGCATTGTCAGAGAAGTCAGCTAAAACAGAAGAGCTAAGTAAGTGCTGAAATAAGAGAACTGTCAACCCGGAATCTTATACCTAGGGAAAATATGCTTCGGATATGGAAGGGGAATCCAGATATTCTCAGATAAAGGGACACTAAAAGTATTTGTTAGTAACAGACCCCTCCTAAGAGAATGGCTAAAGGAAGTTCTCTAAACAGAACGGAAGTGATAAAATAAGGGATTCTGGACACCACCAAGGAAGAATGTACAATGGAAAAAAATATATGGGTAAATATAATACACTTTCCTTCTCCTCTCAAGTTTTCTAAATTATGGCTGAAGCACCAATTATAACATTGCATGCTGTGGTCCTAAATGTTATGTGGAAGAAATATTTAACACAATTACATTATAAACAGGGGAGGGTAAAGAGGTGAAAAGAGGGGTAAGGTTCCCATACTTCACTCAAACTGGTAAAATGTTGACATCAATGGACTATTACAAGTTATGTATATATGACATAATACCTAGAATAACCACTTAAAATGGCACACAAAAAGATGCATGCAAAAACACTCTACATGAATCATCAAATGAATTTCAAAAAATGTTTAAGTAACCTACAGGAAGTCAAGACAGAGAAAATAAAGAAACCAAAACATTTTTATACACCAACAGTGAAGCAGCAGAAAAAGAAATCAAGGACTTGATCTCATTTACAATTGCACCAAAACCCATAAAATACCTAGGAATAAACCTAATCATAGAGGTAAAAGATCTGTATGCTGAAAACTATAGAAAGCTTATGAAAGAAATTGAAGAAGACACAAAGAAATGGAAGAACATTCCATGCTCATGGATCAGAAGAACAAATATTGTTAAAATGTCAATGCTACCCAAAGCAATCTACACGTTCAATGCAACCCCTTACAAAATAACACCACATTCTTTACAGAGCTAGAAACAAACGATCCTAAAACTTGTATGGAACCAGAAAAGACCCCAAATAGCCAAAGAAATCCTGAAGAAGAAAACCAAAGCTGGAGGCATCACAATTTCGGACCTCAAGCTATACTAAAAAGCTGTAATCATCAAGACAATATGGTACTGACACAAAAACAGACACATAGATCAATGGAACAGAACAGAGAATGCAGAAATGGACCCACAAATATATGGCCAACCAAT